GGAATGGAAGTCATGGCATTTGCTCCTCTTGTGAACGAGCTTGCCATAAATCTCTTTTAAGTGTAGTCTCCAGGCAAAGAGGAGTGGAGCTTATATAGACCAAGGAAAGGTGGGAATGACAATGAGGATATACCCAAAATTTTATCCTCTTCTCTCTTTTCTATTTATTTTGTTATGGGACCATTTTGTCATACGTCAGTGTCGGTTCCATCCCATTTCCAGGATTAGGATAAGGATAAATGAAGGGATAAATGCAGGGTCATGCCATACCGTCTCTGTTTTCCTCTTTGTTGGCTCTGGGGGAAGTTGCTTTCAGCTTCTTTCCAATCCGTAAAGGGCGCATAGGACTAGGATATGGAAAATATTGGCTCGAAGAACCTGGTAGCATAGGGTGTTAGGTTTTGCATTAGGCGCCAGCTTTGCTGGGCCGGCATAGCTAAGTTAAAAGCCTTGAAGTCTCGAAAGCCCAAATTAACCTCCCATGCTCCTTCGTCTGCAAACCTCCCAGGAAGCCAATGAATCCGTTTCCAATCAGCGTTGTCGTCACTGTTAAATTTAATGACTGCAAGAGCCTAAAGCATCCCATACAATACGTGGGAATGGCTTGTACAGCTGCTTTAATCAATATACTCCACGGCCAGCACGAGACAGTAGTTTTTTTTTCCAACCCTTAATCTTAAGACCTCACTTGCTCACGGCCGGATGGAATCGAAACATTTGGACTTATTTCAACCAATAATAAGGGGAAGGTATTTATCATTTGCTATTATCCGTGATATATTCAATGTTTGCATTACCTTTTGCTGCACATCAGGAGAGGCATTGATTTGTTACTGAAAAAGATAAAAGATCTGTCGAGGTTAATTTGTTGACCTGAGACTTGCTCATATTCTTTAATGATATCTAGTTACTTCAATGCTTACGGCTCAGAAGCCTCTCCAAAACAGCAGATTATCGTCTGCGAAAAAAAAAATGGGATAGACGGGGACTCCCTCGGCAAAGTGATAATCCTTTCAATTCTCCTCTACCAACGGCCAGCTCTTGAGGGTAAGTCCCATATATAAGCCCTCGGCACATCAAAGAAAGAGGAAAGGAGAGAGAGGGTCTCCTCCTCGAATTCCTCTATTTGATTTAAACCTTAGTCGATGGCAAAAGTAAAAAAAAAAAAAATGATTTAAACCTTTTTCTGTGGAAAATCATTCCTCCATCTTTGCGGTTGTAGAAAATTACCCCTTTTCTGTGTTGACATCAGTTTTTAACACGTAAGGCCATACTTGTTTGCCCGAATCAACATTTTTATATTTTTTTTTCCTTAAAAAAACCATTCTTATTTATTTTTACAATTGAAGAAATTATAATTTAACAATTTGTGATTTAAGGTAAATATACTATTAATAAGAGTTTAGTTAAATTGGTAACACTTAAGGTTTGCACTAAGTGTAAATAATCATTTGAAATTTTTTAAAATATTTTAAAAATCTTGAACTTAAAAAAATGAAAAAGAGAATAAATATTTAAGACATTTTACATAACTTCAAATGATTATGTATATTTAATACAAATTTTATGAATTTATATTTATTTTAAAAGTTTATATTTTTATAGGTACTTGTCTCATATTTAACTGTGTAGTTATGAAAAGTTACCATTTTTTCGTGTGCTTATATTTATTTTAAAATCTTATATTTTTATATACATTTTATGTATTATTTAAATTTCACAAGCTTTTAAATTTTTAAAAATGTAAATAAAATATTATTTAAACAGAATTTTATTAAAAAAATAGTATTAAATTATGAAAATACTAAAATATCCCTCAATTTTTCTATAGGATAACTTTTTCCCATGCCGAACACATTTAGGGATAAAACTTACGACCATCGTTGAATAAATCGCCCTTCCCTAAGGCCTAATTCTATGGACCATCGGTGGGGGTTTTTTTTGAAAATAGGCATTGGAATAAGCGGTGTACTTATTTCCATTTCAAATGCATTTTCAAAGGTTGAGAGGGGCCTTTTTAATTTTTTAATTTTTTTATATATACAAATGAAATTTTTTTTTTAATTTAGATTGTACAATAAAAATTATAAAATGGATAACAAAATTTATGTTAAAGGCCTTCAGTCATTTTATTTGGTAATTTAGTGTAATGAAAAGTAAAAGATTTATATAAAAAAATAAGATTGTCTTATTTTATTATATGAATTGTATTAAACTAGAAAATAAAAATTATTGAATAAAATAAAAGTTAATATAAAAAATTTTATCTTTATTTAATAATTAAATTTTATAATTTTTTAAAAAAATAATGTGTACATTAACCAAAATAAATTACAAAACAATAACCTCTTTTACATATATTTATTTTTTAATAGTTATAATCATATAATTTTTTAAAAAAGTAATTTGTACGTTAACCAAAATAAATTACAAAATAATAATCTCTTTTACATATATATATATATATATTTAAGGAAAGATTCTTAACTTTTACAATGGCATGAGTAATAACTTATTCATTAAAAAAATAATAATAATAAACAATCTTTTAAATTTTATTTTATTTATTTATTTGATTTTTGAATGGTTGAATGAAATTTAAATTTTATAAAATAAACAGTACATTGATAATATATCTATTTTATAAATTTATTTAAAAATATTTAAGAAAATAATATAAAAATAACTTTATTAAAAATATTTAAATAAATTTATTAAACACTTTACAATTCACCGCATCCGCACCCATTTTTCGCGTTGGAATATCATCTTGGAAATTTGACTGAATGTAACGTCATAAGCGAAGTGTAGAACTTGCTTTCCGCTCATGGCCACAACTCTGCCATCGTCCCCATGGCGGACGCGCACGGTCCTCCACCATCCGAGGAAACCTCTTCACCGGCGCCCCGCCGTTTGCGCCTTCAGGCGCAGAGACTTCGACCAGTTTGCTCGGCGGATGGCCTCCGGCGAGGCCTGGAGGGACACCTGGCGCACTGCCAACGACGGCATTGAACAGGTCGTCTTCGAGGCCAAGAAGGCCGCTGAACGCATTGACCGACGCTACTCTGTCTCCCGCCGCCTCTCCTCCGTCGTTCAATCTGCCTCCATCCGAGTCCGGGAAATTGATCGGGAGTTCGAGATTGGGACTCGCTGGCGGACTTATACCGTGGATTTCAGTAGAAATTGGCCTAGGGTTCGTTCTCTCCTTTTCCTTTTCTTTTCTTTTACGCACTCTTATATTACTTCTGTTACTGCTCTGTGCGGACTTTGGAGAGTTGAGGATATGTGCTGTTGTAATTTGCAGACCAAGGAATAGCTTACACCATTATAACTGAATGCTCATAACCCCTGAAATTGTAGAATGCATTTATTTTTTCAATAAAGCAATATTTTTCAAGCTTTTTTTTTCCTTGTTTTATCGAGTTTTTAACTGAAATTGGATAATTATTTGGGTGAATCGTAATCTGTACATTTAAGTCGCCGCCTCAATTATCTTCTAAGTTTAGTTATTCATTATTATTTTGTTTTGCTGATATTCTTGCAGTACAGGAAGCAGCTCAGTGATTTCTTGGATACTCCATTAGGAAGGAGTTTTGCTGTGAGTTGCAGATAAGCCTTTTGCTTTACATTTCTGCTCAATTGCCAGGATGCTTAGAAATTGTTTCATTGAAGGAATTATTTACTTCCATTGTGCAATATCTTTTTCTTTGAAATACAGTCTTGAAATTTTGTTTTTTCTTGGAGCCAAAATTTTTCTTAAGTGGTTTTCTATCCATCCACTGGGGACTTTGGTTACAAATCTTTTGATAGCTCTTTCCATACTCGTCTAACATTTCTTTATCTGTTTGCAGACAATTTTCTTCCTCTGGTTTGCATTATCTGGATGGCTATTTCAATTTTTGATATTTGCCACATGGTTACTGCCTGTTGCTGCACCTCTTCTCATTGGAACTGTTGCCAATAATCTTGTCATCAAGGTATCACTGGTTTCTCTAACTTGGCTTTTCAAATGTAGAATAAATATGAAATTTAGAACAATTTGTTTGTTGAACTTCTTTCTTGATTAAGTTTTATCTTTGTATCTTACAAGCTTGCTGTAAAACATGAAATTGATCCTAATTCCTGGTTTCTATCAGGGGCACATATGGAACAGTAGTATCAAAATTATGATCATGCATATGTCCCAATTCTTTTGTTTTACTGTTATTAAATTGACAACTAATATTTTCTTAGGGCTTGAGGAAATTTGAAGTTCTTAGCTATTTATTATTAATGAAACAAAAGAAGCTTAATCCCAAAATCAAGTATTTGAGTTAGTTGGTAGCAACAGGCTAATATTCTATTTTCTTATTATTAAAAAATGTTTTTGTGAATGAATATACTCTGTTTCCTCATAGTTTGGGACAACTAAAATTAGAATTGTAGTTTCAGTTTTGATATTTAAAACCATATGTTAACATCATTGCTGCATAAACCCCTTCACACAGTAGGGTGGGTTGCATTTTGAGGGAAGAAGTGCATTTGTTAGTGTTTATCAGCCCAGATGCATTGTTTTGTGAAAATTCTATGGTGTCAGCATGTGTTGTGCATGTGCAAATCCAAAATGGTGAAAATGAAGATAGATTCTTCTCTGTTTTGTTTGTTTGGAGCTCTGTTTCTTTCTTGATTTTTATCTGTTTCCTTTAAATCTTGATGAATTTAACAGTATGATTTAGGATTGTCTTCATACTAACAATCTACTACTGCTAGCTTGGTGAGTAGTTTTGAAATTTTACCCAGTAGTTGTAACTATTCAAGTACTTTAGGGGGATATTGGTTTTAGCTTTATTCAATTGTGAATTTGTGATAAATTTTTTTGGTAAACTTTTTTCCTAATTTATGGGGAACTTTTTTCCTAGTTTATGGCAAAAGAATTTATTCAACAATGCGGCTGCAAAGGCAACTGGGATGGACTCTTATCTGAACCCATTCCTCCTAAATACATAGAATCAACTGATTATTAGAATTCATATTTTTTTTTCTATTGCCATCTGATGCAGTTATTATGGGAGAATGATCCTTGGGGTGGTAATTTCTATTTTTTGGTTTATTTTGCAATTCTGATGTAATTTTAAGATCAAGTATTAACTATCGTGTTTGGTTCCCTTCCCTTTTTATTGTGTTTTAGATAGGAACTAGCATATATTATTTCATTACATTTTGCTATCATTTTGGCTCTTTCCCCATTTCTATTACAGCCTAGTTAGGGATAATTATGTCTTTTTTATAAATAATCCATTAGGTTTTTTGGTTTAATATAAATGTTGTTATGCTCTACTGTATTGTCATTTATTTTACAGTCTAGAATAATAATCTTTTAACTCTCTCTTCCTGTTTTCTTCTAGTTTGTCATCTGTTCCCTCCAATGTTCACTACTGCTCTTACCCTGCCCTTCACCACCATCTTCTGTTGCCAGGGCTGTGCTTTGTTGTTTGTTGCAAGAATTTCCTTGAAGTTAATATCTGGTTATTTTGATTTGCCCAACCATATTTTCCCTTTTTAGTTCTTTTATGTTTGTTTCCATCTTGCCTAATGATAAACTCTTTGAGCTGATCTCAATTCGTTTATCAATCTAGCTTCCCAAGGTGGTTTTTCCTCATGAAATTACTAGTTATTTTAATTTTGAAAAACTGTTTTGCAGTCCGAACAGTATGGACTGCGAAACAGTGGAATCTTTTAGTTTTCTGCCTTGATAGTTTGGTTGACTAAGAACAGAAAACCAAGCATTTGGTCACACTAAATTTATCAAGTTTCATGTTAATTAACTTCAATGCAAAGCTACTTAATAGAATTCTTGTTAGCCTTGCATTTCATTATCCATTGGATTCCGGTCTATCCTTGGAACACTGGATGGTGCCAGATGGTGGTGGAGCTAAATGCCTAAATGCATTAGGCTACAGTCTCTGCTGTCATGATCATGTCTGATCTAGTTTACATAATCTCAAACTGTATAATGATATGATATTTAGTATAGTTATTTTGATTAATCTATAGTTAACGTCTGTACTTGTTTTGATTTCTATTTTTTATACTAATGGTATGCCCCTTTTTTTTATATGTGCTTGATGTCATACTTTCTGTTGAAACTGAACAGGGCACTTGTCCTGCTTGTAAGAGGCAGTTTGTTGGTTACAAGAACCAAATAATACGGTGTACAAGCTGCGGAAATATTGTATGGCAGGCAGTGAGGGACTTCTCTTCGAGAGGTGGACGTGGCCCCAAAAGCAAGAAGTCTGAACCTGAAATTATCGATGTTGAATTTGAAGAGAAATGAATAATAATGAGAAGTTTTCAAGGTATCCGGGTCATGGTTCATTTTGATGTAGCAGACTAGAAGCTAAAAAGAAACTGAATCATTAGTTTGCTCACTCCTTGTGATATCTTGTCTTCCTAAAGTCTTTTTGTCCATTACACAAGAAAGAGAAAGAAAAATACTGCATTGTATGTTGCAGGTTCACAGAAAAGATTACAAAAACTATTCTTTTTTTTTTCAGTGGAAATGAATTTGAAAGGGCTTAATGGTCAAAAAGGGAGACTACTGGCGTCTCTGTAGTGCATTATGTTGTATGTGACTTGGATGTTGATTGTCTATGTTATGGTCAAAAGCTTATTTTTAACCCCTCATCAAGTTTAAATGTTTTAGCTCTTCACTTTATAATATGATATTTTTAACTCCTCACCTTACTAGATTTGTAGGTTTTAACCTTTCACCTTATATAATGATAATTTTAGCTCCTCACCTATTAAAATTGAAAAAAATAACCTTCACTTTGTAATATTTTGTTAGTTCTGTTAGTTGACTGTTAACTTTATTAACTGATTGTTAATTGAATGTTAATTGTTAAAAATCTTTTTTCAGCTAACAGATTTAACAGAATTAACTTTATAATGTTTCGTTAATTTTGTTAATTGGTTATTAGTTGACTGTTAATTGATGAAAATCTACTTTCAACTAATAGAATTAACAGTCAGTATAAAGTGAGGGTTATTTTCTTCAATTTTAATAGTTAAGGAGTTAAAATCTACAAATTTAGTAAGCTGAGAGGTTAAAAGTGTTATAGTATAAGGTAAACGGCTAAAACCTTCAAAGTTGATAAGGTGAGGGGCTAAAAGTAGGTTTTTGCCGTGTTCACAGGCGTTTTGTTTAGGTTAAAACCCATTTTGGTCCCTCCACTTTAGCGAAAATTTCCTTTTTAGTTCCTCTACTTAAGAAAGTTCTTGTTTAATCCCTGAAGTTTATTATCTAGTTCCTTTTTTGTCTATCCGTTATATTTTTACACACGTGACATGTTAAATAATGAAAATTTTAAATAGAGAGACTAAAAGTTAAAGGGACTAAAAAGGGGTTCTTTTTAGTCTCTTTTTAATCCCTTTACTTTAAAATTTATGTCATTTAATACGCATGTGTATAAAAAAGATAACGAAGAAACTAAAAAAGGACTGAATAATAAATTTTAAGAACTAAAAAATAACTTTTTTAAGTAAAAGAATTAAAAAGAGACTTTTTAATAAAATAGAGGGACCAAAATGAAGTTTTAACTTCTTGCTTACAATGATTCTTGAAAAGCTTCTTAGTTATGCACTAAATTTGCATTAGTTTTTGTATTTTTGGAAACATGGTTTTTATGCACCGTGATTTTGAGCTTCAGTAGAGTCGAATTAGTCATATGTGTTTTTTGTCATCCTGACTTCGTAACTTAAGCTTGTGGTTGTCTCTACATTTCATTCTAAGTTGGAAAAGATTGCATGTAGGAGCTTCTTTGTCGAAATTTGGTAACCTCGACAAAATCTCTGGATATGAGTATGTAGTTGTGTTAGTTCAGGACTTTGATTTTTGTAAGGTGAATTTTGTTCTTTTTGAACGGCCAAAAGAATTTCTCATGGTTCCCTGGTAGATGAATATTCTTATAAAATTTGGAATATGTCTAGGATATTAGATTGAGTCTTTGATGGCAGATGTCTTTTGGTCTTGGTTATCATTTTATGGTTATGAATGTTAATTCGTCCATATAAAAAAAGTTGAAAGGGATTGTTACTGTACTATTACCAGCATGTGGGGAAAATACAAAGCCAGTACAAACCTCATAGCTAGACACAGAAATGAAATGGCATTTGCTGAAGCTGCAGCAGAAAACTGAATTATTCAATTTGTTAGCGGGTCATCATGGTTCTGGCACCCTCATCAATCACGATTTCATGAAGCAGAGAGTGCTGCTCTACCCGGCCATCAATAATGCTAGCAGTCCTGACCCCTTGAGCCAGGTCAAGAATGCAATAGCTGACTTTTGGGATCATGCCACAGCCAATTTTCCCTTCCTCAACAATCTTCATACCCTATTTTTCAATCTAGACTGTTGGGTCCTCTCGGTCTGCCGGAATCCCTGCCACGCCAGTCATCTTAAATTTTTATTCTTGGAGATGTTTGATAGCAAAAGAGTGCCCAAATATAGTCTAAACCGAAACTTAAACCGAAACTTAAACCGGGTAACAGAGAAAGCTCTGAAAAGAGAACTAGAATTTGTAATTTGGAGGTAAGTTAGAGGTTCCAGAATTGAACTGGGAAGAGATTTGGAAAATAAAGAACCATACCTTTCAAATTCACCAAAAAAGAGTAAAATTTATAATTTACACAAATTGAGCATTTCACATAGACGCAACTGCCATAGCATTTATCCAATTTAAGCACAAAGCGAGCAAGAATTTCCCCTCAAATCTCCTAGCAAAAATGCCACGCTTTTAAAAGCTAACAATTACAATCATTATGTGTTATTACATGATTGACCCTTTATTAGGAGGGCCACAT